ACCAGTATTTTGTTGTGTACAGAAAGATGGGATCTCCTACCCATTAACCATTATAGTTCTCGTAACTTTTCCTCAAGCTGTTGTCTTTTCTTTTTTATATGAATTTTCCAATTCAGTTTGCGGTCTAGATGCATGCCCAGATACTTTACGTGTTCGACCTGAGGGACTTCTATTTCATTCACAGTTACAGGTGGACATGTCTCGTGTTTGAGTGTAAAAGTGATGTGGGATGATTTCTGGCTGTTGATCTCTAGCCTCCACAGTTTGTACCATTTTTCTATTGATGTTAAGTGACTTTGAAGTTGCTCTGAAGCAGTTGTGGGATTTTCATGTTTTGAAAGAATGCAAATATAGTCAGCAAATGAGGCTATGTCTGTGTCAAGTGAGGTGGGAATGTCAGCTGTAAAAATTAAGAACAAAATTGGGCCGAGAACACTGCCTTGAGGAACGCCTGATTTTATTGTTTTAATAGGTGAGTTCATGTTGATAATGTTTACGTAAAAACTTCGGTTTGATAAGTATAATTTAATTAATAGAAATAGTTCATTGGGTAAAGTATTTTTAATTTTATAAAGAAGTCCTGTATGCCAAACTTTGTCAAATGCTTGTGTGGTATCTAAGAACAGAGCTGAGCAATATTTCTTGTAGAGTTTCGTTGATCTTATGCACCAATCTATGTTGCAAAACTGAATGACGCGATTTTAGCAAATGTTTTAAGCAAGCGATGTTAATAAAATAAATTTAACACTTTTTCATTCATCAGATTTTTTCCAGATTTAAAGATAATCAGACATCTATCCAGATAATAAAAATAGAAAAAAAAACTAAATTATTTTACTAAATATACTTTTGATTTCGAATCCGAATTTGACTCTCCTTTCGGATCCGAATCCGAATGTTTTTTAAGTGTACTCTCCGGAGAGAACCACCCAATGATGCCACGTATTTAGTGTCCCAGACCTACAGAATAAATATGTTTTTGTATATTTGACGGGTAACATTATATTGATGCAACTTAAAAAATATATAAGTTTTAAAATATGTTTAATCAACATCGAAATCTATATTATATATGATAGATTTCCTCCTTTGCGCATTGAGGTACATAATGATGAGTATATACAGCTTTTGGCATTTTATATTATATTAAACAATGTGAAAGCAACGATGCTTATCAAAGATATCATTAACATCATAGGGTAGGGCGGGTATAAAAGTCCAATTTGGCTTTTATGAGTTATTCTGTGCAAACCAAACCGAATACATTATCACAACAAATGACACATATCTATGTTTGGTGAAATTCCCAGCTATTTCATCATTTACTACACTACGTTTTGTGTGCTATTCTTAAAAAAATCAGATACAGGTACAAAAGAGAGAGCTAGAGGGCAATAAGACCCACTATTTTAGTTCAAATTTTAGAGAAGTTTTATTGAATAATAGCTAGATTGATGCGAATTACTATTGGGTTAAACGCCAAAATTAAAATTACTGTGTAAATATGTATTATTAACCACAATTAACAAAAATCTATTGATTACTACCACAAAGTGACTTGATTTGGTAGGTATGTCTAATTTATCATAATCAAACCCATTGTTTCTTGAAGTACAAGTATTACAAAGAAGAAAAATGCAATTTTTGTTTTAAATACATGTTTCGTGCACACATTATTTTATGATCACACTCCATACAAGCTTTGTATGGTACTTGGTCAGAAGGACTAATCATTAGAACTGCCTTCTTTAACTCCTTTTGTTTTTTTATTCAATATTTCCTTTTTATATTGCCCGCGCAAAGATTCAGATGGTTCTTTTTACCCCAAACACATGTAAACTGTTGTAGAAGTTATATAAAACAAATGTTGTATCTAAGTTAAAAATAGCAATACACATTATGAAATAATTAAATAACGTCACTTAAAAATTATATAGAGGTATCGTACACTAAATATCACTGCTCAAGACTAACAACGGAAGAAATACCTTTGTCACAAAATTGACAATATGGTCGTTAATCTGGTTACACATTTTTGGCCCTCTACTTTCAAATATTGTTATTGCGAAATTGCTAAATTTACTTGTTTTCTAGATAATGGTGGTAGACAAATTAACCAGAGGGCCTTGAAGCATCTCTCTACTCTACCAAAATTTCGTTTTACTACTTAAGCCGCGCACGCATCCAAAGAATAAAAATACGAAACCAAGGCCGTACTTTAATAAACTGCCGATTACAACTCCGGTCGCGCCACAGCGATTTTTCCTCCCTCGTGCATTAGAATTTCCGCCACAGCCACTTCCCTAATTCATACATAATCTCCCGTGTGCGTGGAACAGCATGCACTGCCCGCGTCATATTTCATACGTCTAGTCACATGTGAAATGCTAAGTCGTATCTCATACACAATTTGCATGTACCGCCTGTGTCAAAATCACTTATCGTTTATGCTAAAACATCACAGGGGGCCGCAAATACAGTCTGTCACAGGCGAAAATTGACAGATTTTAAAAATATATGTACCTAAAATGAATGAAATTGGAATTGCTTTCGAGTGTTTTTGCATATTTTATCGAACTACTTTCGTTTAGAAGTTGATAGATTTATGAGAGCACTTTCTAAAGTTTGGATAATAACCGCAAGTACAGTCTGACAGAGAGGAAAATTGACCCTCTATGGGCACGTGTAACTTTCAGGTAATATTCTAATTCATTAATATTTTCTCAGATAATGCATAAATCCTGATTTTATAACCTTGCCAATATCAATAACCTGTGTAACTACCATAGTACAGTTAAGGGAATCAATCAGTTCGAAGCGATATTGTTTATGTTTCTGATACTAATTACTACACTAAAAATGGTGCACATAAGAGCTCCAGGATCCTTTATCAGTATCAACATATTTATTTGCATTTGAATTTTCATTTGTTACTGTTTTTTTATGATTCAGTCTTGTAACTTGTAACGCAGCGGCCCATCATGACAGATTTCGGTTCATTTACAATAAACCTTATACTTTCTTTTGTTATCAGATTCATACGTTATCTACATTTATATAAAAATAAGTCGGGTTTTCCTTCCTGACGATATAACTCCAGAACGCACGAACCGATTTCAACAATTTTGCATTCGTTGGAAAGGTCTCCGCAAGGTTTATAGCTAAGAAAATTAGTGGAGCATGGCATCGTGCCTTAATGCAAATTGCTGGAACTTTACGCACCGTAATTAAAAATTCGAGCAATGACATTAGTGAGAATTATCAGAATTATGCTTGGTTAAGTCAACGAGCAATTCTTACCGCAAAGAATAATGATGAACACGCACTGAATTTCACCATTCAATCAAAAATTGCTGACGATTTGGTGACATACCAATGATTCCGACTGGTCTTCCGTTTGACTTCAAATGATTGCAATTTCCAGTTCGCCTTGCGTTCGCAATAACAAGTCGCAAGGCCAATCGCTTAGTGTTTTCGGAATAAATTTCAAATAGATTATTTAGAAAATCTTTGTTTTTCACATGGGCAGTTATACGTTGCCTTTTCACGAGTTGGAAAACCATCCGCTTTGTTTGTGTTAACGTCAGACCAAAAAACAAAAAATGTGGTTTACCAAAGAGCACTTCAATGAAACGGATAATTTGCGGATTCACTTTCATTTACTTGGAGAAGTTCAACTAAAAAACACTTCATTTCATCGAAATAAATTATTTACTGTTGTGCAATAAAATCAAATTTTTTCTTTTCAAATATAAAACAAACAAAAGATTTCTTCATCTTTCTCACGAAACCATCTGGTGGCGAAACGGAGTTCGTCGGGTTTGCTAGTTAATAAATGACATAAAAAATGATTTGAATGAACGCATTTGAAGTAATGATATCAATGACTATTGGAGCGAATTGCTGCTCCAATGTTCAAAAAAACTGCAACACCGCACAAGCAGAAAGCTGTTCGCTTCATACAGGGCAATAAAAAATATTTACCCAAATATTAGGTATAATAGTTAGTACAACTTTAAGCGTCACCAAGAAAGCACATAAAAAGTACCCGCTTGACCAGCGAAAGCAGTCATTATTCCTTTAAGTTTGTTATTATAATTAACCGCCCGACTCGCGAAACCAGTCAAAATTAAGCAAAGATAATATTATGAACTATTACTAATAAGTGAAATAAATTAGTGAATTACAAAGTGTGTTTCAATATAAACCCAAATTTACATTTATGGGAAATGTCCCATAAAATGGTCCATTCGAGCCGAATAATTATGAAAATGAGTGAATAGTTACAAAGTTAAATCAAAATACAGTCCATTATTGAAAATTTAAAAATAAATTATAAAACATCAGTGTGCGTTAATCAATAAATAATCAAAAGCAAATTTAAAAACACGTGTGTTTAACAGCATAAAGCATTCAAGTGATCTGTTTAAACCAAAATATAACAAAGTGATTAAAATATAATTGATGAACATATAAACATTTGAAATAAAGCAGTGCAGTTGGATATAAATCCAAACAGAAGTGAAAATTTAAAAATTTGCAAAGGATTCAGTCAGTAGCCATTAGCCATCGTCAGCATCCCCGCGAGCGTAAGAAGCACCCTTAAGAACCGAAGCGCCGCCGAACGCAACCGAGCCGCCCCCGAACGCAGCAGTGTGCAACATCGCTTGCAGACACGAGATTCGCAACCCAGCACCGAGCATCCGTCGCGTACGAAAGGGCGCGCATGCAGAAGTCAGGTATACCCGAGGATTCAACGCAGACATTGAGGTAGGCTTCCAAACTATTACTTACATCAGAGGCGCCATCTTCCAAGGGGATAGAGAGTTCAAGTTCACCAATTAGTTTAGGCTTGACTTTGGAATTTTATAGTTACTCTATCATAGTTTTTCCAAAAACATTTTTCTGTTCTATTTTTTACATCATTTATATTTTAGATAACCTTTATATTTTATTAATCATTTTTTCCGTATTTGAATTGTAAAGGCTATCACATCACAATGGAAAATCAAAATATTTTAATTGAAAAGCGCAGATCAGCAAAATCTAAAATAACGCGAACACAAAATTATATTTCAAAATTTGATTCTGAATTGAGTATTTCGGAACTAAACGCGCGGAAGCAGCTTCTCAATGACGCATTTAATAAATATAATGAAGCGCAAGATGAGTTAGAAATGATTAATTTAGATGAATTCGAAGGCGATCGCGACGAGATAGAAACGCAATATTGCAAGATTTTGTCTACAATAGATAATTTATTGGCCGGTTGTAGACAAAGTAATGCATGCGCGCAGAATGTGTCTGAGTCAGCTTCAGCTAAAGTTCAGCTCCCTCAAATTCATTTGCCGAATTTTGATGGAGAGTTTTCCAAATGGCCGGAATTTCGAGACATGTTTTCGAGCCTAATTATAGAAAATAAATTATTAACGAATTCTCAAAAGTTGCATTATTTAAAAAACTCACTACAAAGAGAAGCCGCCAATTTAATAAAAAATTTATCAATCACAGACGCGAATTTTCAAATAGCATGGGATACGTTAGTGGGTACCTATGATAATAAATTGATATTAATTAACGCGCAATTGAAAGAAATTCTAAATCAACCACAAAATAGAGATCACAAGTCACTCAGAAATTTTTTATGCAAATCGCGACAGCACATATCCTCTATTAAAAACGAGAGACTCTCAGTAGAGCTCTCCGATCTCATATTTATATTTATTTTAAAGGCAAAGTTAGATATGGATACCCAAATGGCGTGGGGTGCATCTATATCAAAAAATAATCTACCGTCATTAGACGAATTTTTTTCGTTTTTAGAAAAGCGTTGTGCAACTTACGATATGAACCGCGAGCAACGATCAAATATAAACATTCCGGTTCAGAGGATTCATTTCGCTGCACCTATCAAACAGAAATGCCCCTTTTGTAACAAAGAACATTACCTCAATCAATGTGAGGAATTTTTAAAACTACAAGTAAATGATCGCGCTGAATTTGTACGAAAGACGCAATTGTGTTTTAACTGCCTTAAATCCTCGCATGTAATATCACAATGTCATAGTAAACGCAGATGTTCGTTTTGCAAAAGGCGTCATAATTCCGTTCTACATAGGTCTGACGATTCATTAAATATAGCAACTCCCAGTACAAGCACTATGACCATGATTGCAAAAGCGGAACAAAAACAAACCCTCTTGCCCACAGTTCTAGTGCTTGTATCAAACGGTAGAACGACATCTACAGCGCGCGCTCTTCTAGACTCTGGTTCACAGATAAATATTATTTCAAAGTCTCTAGCAGAAAATTTAAAATTAACATATAAAAAAGCAAATATAACGGTCGGCGGGATAGGCGGTATAAACGCCAATGTTTTAGGTTCGGTAACTCTACAAGCAGCATCTAGGATTAGCAATTATACTAAAACATTAGATTGTACCGTTATGCAAAATATCGCAAATAATTTACCGGGAGTACGCGTTGACATATCAAATTGGGATATACCGAAAGCTTGCATACTAGCCGATCCTAATTTCAACTCGCCGGGACAAATAGATTTAATATTAGGTGCAGAAATATTATTTGAAAGTTTAAAAAATGAGCAAATTAAATTGAAAAACAAAATAACATTATTTAACACTAGTTTCGGTTGGTCATTTTGCGGTCCGGTAGAATATAAGACTTTTTTTGCGCACGTAGGGTTAACAACCGAGGAAAATATAACTGACCAATTAAAACAGTTTTGGGAAATAGAGGAATTAAATGAAAGGTGTATCTTATCGCAGGAGGAATTACGAGCAGAAGACATATTTGAACAAAACGTCAGTAGGGATTCAAATGGTAGATTTGAAGTAGCGTTACCATTTAGAAGCGATCCGCGTATTTCTCTTGGGTCCACTTATTCACAAGCGTACAAAAGATTCATGAATTTGGAAAAAAGATTAACTAATAATAAAAAACTCGCGGCAGATTACGACAATTTTATAAGAGAATACATAAGATTAGGCCATGCAACAAAGATTGACAAAATTGAAAATCGTAACTTAGACAAACATAATTATTATTATTTGCCACACCACGCGATAGTTCGTGAAGCTAGTTTAACAACAAAATTAAGAGTAGTTTTTGACGCTTCGGCAAAATCTTCAAACGGTCTATCTTTGAATGACATACTGCTACCGGGACCGCGTTTACAAAAAGATTTGTTTACCATATTAATTAGATTTAGGACACATAGATTTGTATTTACGGCGGACATAGTCAAGATGTTTCGTCAAATTAAAATTAAATCCGAACATCAGGACTACCAGAGAATTTTATGGCGTGAGGCGCCCGGAATGCCTGTAGGATGCTATAAGTTAAATACCGTAACGTATGGCACTAATTGCGCGCCATATTTAGCAATGAAATGCCTTGAAAAGTTAGCTATAGATTATAATGAAATATATCCAAAAGCGTCAAAAATTCTACAGTCAGATTGTTACGTGGACGATATAATCTCCGGTGCAGACACTTTACAAGAAGCAAAATTATTAATAACCGAAATTAATAATCTCCTAGCCGAAGGGGGGTTTGAATTGCATAAGTGGTCAAGCAATAATATAGAATTAATTAATGATAAGAATATAGGTGAAAATATAAATGTAGGGTTTGACAAAGAAAAGATAATTAAAACTTTAGGGGTTATATGGCAACCTACATCTGATAATTTTAAAATTTATAACAACGTTTTAGCTATAGACAATATACAAACCAAACGAAAAACTTTAGCATCTATAGCTAGCATATTCGATCCGTTAGGATTCATTACTCCGGTAGTTATAACTTCAAAACTTATTATGCAGCAATTGTGGAGAGAAAATAAAGATTGGGATGAACCGGTTACGGAAAATTTATTAAAAAGCTGGCAATTATTTTCGAAACAATTAGAGATTTTACAGCAGCTAACAATACCTCGGCAATTGAATCTTTTTAAAACAATAGAAAAACGCTCAATTCACGGTTTCGCGGATGCTTCAATGAAAGCATATGGAGCATGTTTATATTTATGCGTAACCTATCAGGATGGGACATGCTCTTCAAAATTAATATGTTCAAAATCGCGTGTAGCACCGCTGAAACAAATTACCTTACCGCGTCTAGAGTTATGTGCCGCGCTATTGTTAGCTCGCTTATTTAATAAGGTAAGCCATAGTTTAGAATACGTGATAAAAGAAAACGTACTGTGGAGCGATTCCAGTATAACGTTATCATGGCTAAATTCCGAGCCTTGTACGTGGCAAATTTTTGTTGCAAACAGAGTATCGGAAATTCAAAAACTTACATCACACGCCACTTGGAAACATGTTCCTTCCAAAGAGAATCCAGCGGATTTAATAAGTCGCGGAATTACACCGTTAGAATTACAGAATTCAGCTTTATGGTGGAACGGTCCTGATTGGCTCGCAAATTCGAATAATTGGCCAAAAAAGTTTACAATTCCCGATAATATAGAATTGCCAGATAAAAGAAAATTAGTTGTGACACTAGTTGCAACACAGAAAAAGCTCTTTTCATTTAATTTATAATAAATTCTCAAATTTTACAAAAATGATTAGAGTTGTAGCATATTGTTCTAGATTTATTTTTAATATAAGAAAAATAAATAAAAATAATAAAAAATTAGGTCCGCTCGAAATTTATGAATTAAATGAATCAAAATATACGATTATACGGCAATTACAAAAGGAAGTTTATAATAAAGAATTAACTAAGTTAAATATTAATCAAGACTCGTCCAACGCTTTTGAAAAATCATTGCTAAAACTGAATCCGTTTGTAGGTGCGAACGATTTATTGCGAGTGGGCGGGAGACTACGGCGTGCAAATATTCCATACGATCAAATGCACCCGATAATTTTACCAGCAAAGCATCCAATAACAACAATGATTATTAGGCAAGAACATTTGCGTTTACTACATGCAGGAACCCAAACTACTCTCGCTAATATAAGACTTAAATACTGGCCGATAAATGGTAGAAGAGAGGTTAAAAAGGTTATTCATAGTTGCGTCACTTGTTATAAATTCAGAGTAACAACACAAACACAATTGATGTCCGATCTACCACTAAGCAGAATTAATCCAGTAAGACCTTTTTTAAACGTAGGAACCGACTACGCCGGCCCAATTATGCTAAAATCAAGTAGATTGCGCAAGGCTCCCTTAATCAAATCGTACATTGCGCTTTTTATTTGTTTTGTTACCAAGGCGATACATTTAGAGTTAGTAACAAGTTTGTCTACAGATGCATTCATAGCCGCTTTAAGACGTTTTATATCTCGACGAGGTCGCTGCGCCACGATTCATAGTGATAATGGTACAAATTTTGTAGGGGCAAAGCACCATTTACACGAACTTTTTAAATATTTTAAGAATGAACAAGAAAGAAACAAATTAATTGAAGCCGTATCAGTGGAGGGCATCGAATGGAAATTCATTCCAGCTCACGCTCCACACTTTGGCGGTCTTTGGGAAGGGGCTATAAAATTAGTTAAATTGCACATACGCAGAGTAATAGGCAACACAATATTAACATTTGAAGAGTATTACACATTTCTAACCCAAGTAGAAGCTATAGTAAATTCGCGTCCATTGATAGCTGTTTCCGATGACGTTACGGATTGCGGATATTTAAGCCCGGGACACTTTTTAATTAATGATGTGATAGCCTCATTTCCTGAGCCCCAATCAAAATGTAATAATGATATCTTGAAATGTTGGCAAGATGTCAATAACCTAAAACAAATGTTTTGGAATCGCTGGTCTACTGAATACTTGTCTCAACTACAAGGACGTAAAAAATGGTATAAAACCAACCCAAATCTTGAGAATGGAACAATTGTTTTAGTGAAAGAGGACCATATACCACCTCTCCAATGGAATATTGCAAAAGTAGTTGAGACAAAAAAGGGACCAGACGATAAAATACGAGTCGCAATAATTAAAACAGCAAAAGGGTTATATACTAGGCCTATCACAAAATTATGCCCACTTCCATTTAATATGTAAAAATCACTAACGTAATTATAAGATTATTTCAATTTCAAATTTCAAATTATTTAGACATAACATAAGTTTTCAATTTTAATTAATAAGCAATTAGTTGATAAGTTTTATTTCATTTGATCATAGCATTAAGGATTAGAGTTAAATAATAATAAATGATAGTATATTAAATTAAAGTTTCAGAAAACATTTTTAAGTTTGATCATTATATAATTAAGAAGTTTTATATGTTTAATACATTTTAGTTTAAATTTAAATTTTGATCAAATATCTTAAGACCTGACATAAGCCATGGTTGTTGACGGTTGGGGCCCCAGTATGGAGCGAATTGCTGCTCCAATGTTCAAAAAAACTGCAACACCGCACAAGCAGAAAGCTGTTCGCTTCATACAGGGCAATAAAAAATATTTACCCAAATATTAGGTATAATAGTTAGTACAACTTTAAGCGTCACCAAGAAAGCACATAAAAAGTACCCGCTTGACCAGCGAAAGCAGTCATTATTCCTTTAAGTTTGTTATTATAATTAACCGCCCGACTCGCGAAACCAGTCAAAATTAAGCAAAGATAATATTATGAACTATTACTAATAAGTGAAATAAATTAGTGAATTACAAAGTGTGTTTCAATATAAACCCAAATTTACATTTATGGGAAATGTCCCAACTATTAATTATTTTTTGAGTCCGATGAGGATTTAATAGTATATATTCAAATTCAAATGAGGTATATCAACAATTGCTACCTGTAAAAGATGTGCGAAAAGATGTTTGGCATATTGGCCAATTTTTTTTCGGATAAGAAAGAACATTGCAAAAATTCCGGATTTCGGAACATAATGCTTTAAAAATGAAATGTTCAATTATTTTTATACAGTCTGTCACAGACAATTTAAAAATATATTCAAAACAAATGAAATTGGAATTGCTTTCAAGTGTGTTTATACTTTACGGAACTACTTTTATTTAGAAATTGAATGATCTATTTCAGCACTTTCTAAAGTATGAATAAAAGACGCAAATACGGTCTGTCACAAACGAAATTTGAAAGATTTTAGAAATATATTAGAAACAAATGAAATTAGAATTGCTTTCGAGTGTGTTTTGCATACTTTTCGGATTTACTTTCGGTTAAAAGTTGTTCAATATATTTCAGCGTTTTCTAAAGTGTGGTTAATAATTGTTAATACAGTCTGTCAAAAAAAAATATAGATTTTATAAAATTGAATTTGTTTTCGAGTGTTTTTGCATACTTTACGGAACTACTTTCGTTTAAATAAATTCTAACGTATGAATAAAAGACGCAAATATAATTATTTTGATTCTATAATTTACCGACTTTAAAAATGTATTAGAAACAAATGAAATTGGCTTTTAAGTGTTTTTGCACACTCTACAGAACTGCTTTCGTTTAGAAGTTGATTGATCTATTTTAGCACTTCCTAAAGTATTAATAATAACACAGTTGAAAAAAATACGTGCTTGACATTGAACTTGGTATTTCTTTAGAGTCCACGATTTTCTAAGGAGGTATATTGGCTTCTTTTAGTAAACATATTTTCTTTTGTAAGAATTTCCTTTTGCTTTTTAAAATCAATGGAAACGTGCTGAATGAATAAATAATCATTAAAGAGAACGAAGCAATATATGTGCTGTGGTCATTACGGAAATATATGTGATATTTTTCATAAATATAGGAATTTTAGCTTCATAAATTTATATCATAAGAATTAATGTAAGATTTGAACAGAAAATATTTAATTATTAAATTAGGACTAGAATAAAAAATATATCATTATTTGTTTTATTTGCGAGCCATGATAACAATTAATATTATTACAGCTTCCTGTTTAATGTGAAAGAGAGTTTTATCAGGAACATATAACTATTATCGTAAGCAAGAACTTATTGAATAGAAATAAAATATTCCGAATATAAGTTTGAAATAAAACTTTTGAAAAATTTTCAACATCTTTCCTTTAAAAGTTATAGTATTTTTTACAGAAATGAATATAAATATAATTTAAATAAGAATTAATTAACTTCTAACAGACAGAGAACGTTAAAAGCATTCCATTTATGAAACAATTATAAAGTATTTAATTTTTATTACATCTGTTCTATAATTATAAAATAATACGCGTAATTTCCTTCTTTCAGATGCTGCTATTTTATGTGGGCAACTTTAATTAAATTCAAAGTACCTCATTTTGCTTAAATACGACCTAAATAGTAGACAAATTATGATATATTAAAACATGAAATTTCGAATTATAAGTGAGTTATGGTATAAAGCCGAAATTACCAAATTTATAATTTATTGTTTGAAAACAAATTCACGCCGAAAATATCAAATGTATAACTTTTATTGAACGTTCGGTGTTAGGAACTTTTTTCAGTGACATGGAAAAAAGCGTAAAAATTTGTGGAAGTATCTGTTAAGTTCTAACACCAAAAAGATTACCTTATAGATTTTAATAAAATTTTATTTTAAAACCTTGGAACTCTTGGAAGATTGTCACTAGTCCTTGAAATTTTAATAAATCTAATAAGTACATAATAAAGAATAAAAGTTATATATATATATATATATATATATAGTAGCTGAGAAGTTCCAAAAAGGTTCTAATGCTACCTTATTTTTTCACATATTATGTGCATTTAGAAAATCAGCATCATTTTGTGCACATACTTACACATATAAGGATCTAATATTACAAAAAAATATTTTAAAAAAGTATAGAATGGAATAAGATGCATACAGTGTATAATCAAACAATATATAGAAAAATATCAGCAGCATTCCGTTAATATTAAATATTCCACTTTAATAATTATAACAGGGTGTAAATTACAAGCACCAAATTATACATTAAGAGTCGCAACAGAGACAAAGTAAAGTGGCATGTGACTCCACTACACCTCGCTCAGAAATAACTAAATTTATTACGACGTCGGATGCAAATTATTCAAATGATAACAGTCCTTATATATCAGGAGGAGCTGCTACAGGAAATCCTGTCTTTCCAAATAAGAAATTCAAATTATTTTTGAGTGATGGCGGGAAATTAAATTCTGACATAAGAAAACGGCGTAGAAATGTGTCTAGAAATACGCAGCGCCTATGAATATTCATTCAGTAATAATACTCATTTTTCCGAAGCATGAAACATCAACTTGCGATATTATGCATTTTAATATAACTATTGTCGAAGAAAAACTCTACTGGATCAGAACACTTTTATCATCGCTTTGATAGTAGCGAATTACTTTTAATTTTGCTGTCTTCAAGAAAGATAATCACCAACAAATTATTGTATTTTATGTAAGATTGTGACTGCTTGATAAATATAGATTTGCAACAATTATTATTATTTCTCCAAAATTCCTTGCAAATTCCATAAAAAATTGAAGACAAAATGTGGAATAATTCGATAACGTAACTAGCATAATTGTTAAACTTATCGTAATCGAAAACTGTTTAATTTAAATATATTTTTTAAACAATTAATTATAAATCTATTAAATACATTGAGTACCATGTTCGCATGTTCAATAAATGACAAATCTGAAAAAAAATTGTGCCGCTCTTAAACTTATAGAAAATGTATGGAAACCTTCAAAATAATTGTATGTATCAACATTAAATTTGATTTAAATGTGATATTTGAGAAAGAGTCGTTTCATTTAATGCAGTAATCTAATTATTCTTTCAAAATTCTTACATTCAGCGATTTTCATCAAATATATTACAATATCCGGAAGAATTCGATAAAGTAAAATACATAATTGTTAAACTTATATTTTAATCAAAAACTGTTTAATGAGAGGCGACAGCATTCGTAATTTTATTAGTTTATTACTCTATATTTTGCATTTGAATATTTTTACTAAACCAATTATAAATGTAATGAATACTTTTGCTGCGCTCTTAAACTTTCAGAAAATGTATGGACGTCGGATACGGGGATACCTTCGTCGGATACCTTAAAAATATATATATGAATCAACATGTGATTTAAATATGAAAGATTTGTGTCAACAATCTTGCTTAAATATATTGTTCAATAATAATTGACAGGTTTTAAACATGATTTATACTGAATTACTTTAAGATCACTTCTAGACATATTTTGATCGTAGGCTTCATATATCTTTACATTTTTAATTACTAATTAATTAAATGATTGATAATTAAACATATCGTTTATATGCTATATTATCTAATAATATGTGAATTTCCAAAATTAGTTTAAAAGTTTTCAGGAAACCGTGCACGTAGCTTTAAATTTTTAACTACTAAATTAATACCCTGAAATAGGATAGGACTCCAATCCTAGAAAAGATCCAATTTTATCTTAATTAATTATACTGTCTAAACCTAATGAATGACATCACAACACATAACAAATATCAAAGAAACAACTATCGTACTATGATCAGTAAATTTCCCAATTAATTAAAATTTGTCACCTATCCCTTTTCATCCCATAGCCGGGGTAAAATGGTGCAGCCGAAGGGAAAAAAAGATCCAATGTCTTATTTTTATTATTAAAGGAGTTAGACGAAACAATACATATAATATTCAATCAATTCAAAATATAAATTTCATGGGTACATCTTTGACAAAGATAACACTGTATAAAACCATGATTATGGTATTGCGAAAAATTATTCATCAACAGAGTTCGAATAAATATTAATTTAATTTATTTCTTATAAATTGTTTATTTTAACTGAATTTACATTTTTATTGACTACTGTTCATTGTTTACACATTTGCCAGTGTAAAAGTTCTGCTGGACTTTTTTACCCCTCGTGCAGGTAAGCAATTATAGAGGTTTTATAAAAACATTTGTTAAATCAAACTAAAAATTAACGATACATTTCATAAAACAATCAAATAACGTATATTTAAATATTATATTAAGGCCACGTAAACTAAACAACAATGCTCCCAACAAAAAACTAAGAACGAAAGAATTTACTTTTGCTATGGATTTT